GTGTCAGACTGCCCCACTGCCTCCTACCTCAGATACTTCCTGATGGGCTCACAGGCGACCTCCAGGATCACCATGGAAGGGTCCAGCTCCCGCAGGGCCTTGATGGCCGAGATATACAGAGTGATGATGTCGGAGGTGTTGACTCCTACAGGAGAGGAGCAGAGAGTCAGAGCCCTGCAGCACAGAATAATGGCTTGGATAGAAGGGGTTTGGATGCTCCAAGCCCTCTGTTCTACCTGTGGTGTGGGAGGAGGGGGCTTCCTGCCCTACTGCCCAAGGCAATGGGGCAGATCAGATCCATGTGCCTGAGAAACCAGTTTTGAGCATGAACAGAGGCTCAGAGCTGACAGAGGTTTAGAGTCCTGACAGTGCAAAGAAGCCTTTGCCCACCTGGACCAAAGATAAACTTTGTGCTCCTGGCCATAGTGTAAAAATGAGGCCAACGGGGGGCTGGGATGCCATCAGCTGCTGCTACCATGCCCACTGCAACACAAATAATGTGTGATGGGCATGGTGACTGCCCCTCACTCCCCAAAGAGGAAACTAAACCAGCTCCAAGTAGATCCCCACTCATGTCCAGACTCCTTACAGTGTCAGGACACAGACAAGAATCTAAAACCCACCAGGGTGCAGAAGTCTCATTTCCAGAGCACTTTTCAGGGAGCTGAGCAGCTGCTGCCTCTCGTTAGTCCTTTCCAGACAGAACTTGAGGTCCTCCACAGCAGGCTTTGACTCTGGGAAATCTGCAAACGAAGCAGTGATCAGGAGCAGTGCCAGGCTCTGAGGGGAGGCAGGGGGAGACAGTGTGACACATCAGAGAGCTCTGTCACCCACCCAGTCCCAGCCCAAGGGTGAAGCACCTCGGATGATGCTGAAGAGCTCCTCGATGCGCATGCTGGCGTAGATGCGGTAGAAGAACCTCTGGACGTGGCAGCGCCAGCGTTTCAGGGTGCTGCTGGCTTCTGGGGAGGACTGTGCCAAGGGGCCATCCTGCAGGAACACTCTGCTGAGCCACCCAATCACCTTCTCTATCCACTGCACGACAAGAGGGAGAAACAGATGTGAATGCACAGCCACATCGCAACCCACCCCAGGCAGCCACCACAGCCGGCAGAAAGGGGCAGCTGGACCGGGACAGCATCACCCCCAGCTGCTCCTCAAATGTGCCCCAGCCTGGGCTACAGCTGGGGAAAGCCCAGCTGAAAGAACTGGAACTTGAACTAAAGATACAGGATATGGACTGTGCAGCTGGGTGTGAGAAGATAAGGGGTGACCATGGACTGTGTGCAGGCACCAGGCTCCAAAAAGGACCGGGTTTGTTCCAAAACTTGCAGCCTATTTCATGCTTGCAGAGTTTCATCCCATTCTATACCTGCAAAACTGTCCCATTCATAAGAAAATTAGCAAATTGCCCATTACACCCTTGCCCCAAAATTTCTATGGTTCCTGAAATCAGTGAAAAGCAAACAAGATATCCCAAGAAGTCACAGACACCCAACGCAACTCAGGCATTTGAAATCCAAATACCAGCCTTGCCACTGAATTATAAAATAAAAACCTGAACAGAGAGCATAAGAAGGTTAATTTTTTTATATTTGAGCTTTAGTGAGAAATATGTAATTGCCAAATTTCAAACGTACCCAATTGCAAGATCCAGATGTTTAAAATAACTGCCGTTTCCCCCTCATCAATTAGCAAATACATTCTACTTCCTGGGATGTATTGGAATACCAATATGCTACAAGATAGTCTACTACCACTCTAATACTAGATATTAGTATTTTTTATAGATTCTGACAGCCTGAAACAAAAATGCTAAGTCAATGTTTGCTTTGCTGATGTTTATTTTTAATTATTTGACTGAGGACACACTGAAGAAATGCAGATTTGCCAGGACCAACAAATGCTAAGTCAATGTTTGCTTTGCTGATGTTTATTTTTAATTACTTGACTGAGGAAACACTGAAGAAATGCAGAAGATTTGCCAGGACAAACTGAGTACTACAAACACCTGGGCAAAACTGTGGAGAAGCTGATAAAGAATTCCCCTAAAGGACAAAAGGACAGGACTATAACTGATGCAAAGCAACAGGATTTTAAGGAATTATTATCAAAACAACCCATTCTTCCCTTGAGTTTATCTTCCCTGAGTGCTCCTGTTACAGCCTGATTGTGACCTGACACTCCAGGCAGCTGCTGCCGTGCTGGCAAAGAGGCCTTGCCCTCAGCACCTGTAATTTTCAGTGAGCTGTTTCTCAGTCTTCTCTGTTTAACCATTAGATTTCCAGGCCTGTGCTTTTAATTTGTTTTCCTTAAAATTACCTCTTCCTAATCCTGACATGCTCCAATACTCTAAGGCCAAACAAGAGGTGGAAGCAAGGGCAGCATCTCACGAGCGGAATGCAGTTGTGTTTTCTGTGGTGCCCTGAAAATATCCTTAAACAATCTCCAGGTCATCCAAAAGCATTTCACACGAGGTGCAATGAAGAAAGTGTTGCACAACAACCAAAAGGAAGTAAACACAAAAAGATTCCTGATGTTTGCAGCAACAAAAATGGTTGGCATGGCAAAAAGTGAGGGATCCAGGGTGTCTGGCTTGCATGGGAACCTGGCTGCAGGCCTGGTTCTCCAGCACACGCAAAGGGAAGGTCATGTGCAAGGAGCACTGAGCTCAGGATTGTGTCCTGGAGGAGCCATAACCTGGAGAATAATTTAATTTTAAAGTCATGATGGGTAAACAGCTCAACACAAACTTAGTTGAAATAGCAGCAAAGCAACTGGGCAGCTGCAAAGAATTATTTTAATTCTGTGTAGCCACTGGTGAGATCAATACCAGAGTATCCTCTCTCACCCTTGCTTCCAATTTTATAGGGGAATTGGAAAGAGGACTGAAAACAGCCACAGAAATTCTAATTATGGGCTCAGCTACACAGAGGGAGGACCCTCTGCAGGCCAGATGGCACTTGTTGATCTTGTGGTTTGTAAACTGGAACCACAGAAATTCCCTCATTACTACAGACATCATGAGGTGAAATGTGACTGCTTCATGCTCAGGTCAGAGCAAACCTTCCCCTCCAGCATCAGCCAAAATAGGGAGTTTTAGCCCCCTCTCCTGCCAGGCATGGTGGAAGTCCTAGCCCTGGACCAGGTGTTTTAAGCTGGAATCTGCTTTTAGCCTGAGCTGCTAAAAAACAACAACAGCTGCACAGCTTTATCACTCTACAATTCCCTGAAAGGTGGCTGTGCTCAGGTGGGGTTGGGCTCTTTCTCCAGACAGCACTGACAGAACCAGATTCTCAAGCTGCACCAAAGGAAATACAGGCTGGATATTAGGAAGAAGTTTTTCACAGAAAGAGTGATAAAGCTCTGGAATGGCTGCCCGGGGACGTGGTGGAGTCCCCATCCCTGGGTGTGTTTAACAAAGCCTGGATGTGGCACTGGGTGCCAGGGTTTAGTTGAGGTGTTGGGGCTGGGTTGGACTCAGTCTTGAAGGTCTCTTCCAGCCCAGGGATTCTGTGAATTCTGTGATCTCCCAAGGGAGGGCCCTCACTGCCCCCACACGTGCCTTACCTCCTGGAACTCATTGAGGAAGGAGTGCTCGTACTCCCCGCGGCAGCGCTGCTCCATCCTCTCCTCGATCATCCTGTGCAGGATGGTGGTGACAGCGTCAGCACTCACCCTCTCCAGCAAATTCAGCCGGCGGCTGCGGGCACAGGGACACCGTCAGGAGCATGTGGGAGAAAAGGCACCAGCAAATCAAGAAAATCTTATAGCTGGAGGCACCACCCTCCCTGTACATTACACAGAGGCAGGCCCAGCTTGGGCCACATGCTCTGACAGCCCACACAGATGCACTACACATGTAACACATGGCACTACTGCTATCCCATCCTCCTTACAGACATTTAAAACCATCAAAAGCTTTTTCATTTAGAAGAGTTTCATAGAATCAGAGAATGGTTTGGGTTGGAAGAGACCTTAAAGATCATCTAGTTGGGACCCCTGACATGGGCAGGGACACCTTGCACTGATTTGCTTCTTTCTGGTCAGAGGCCTCAGAGCAAGAGGAGGATATTCTCATATCCAGGGAGAGGAACTTTCTGTCTAAAGATCTGCTCTTGTTCAACCACCAGTTGAAAGCAGAATGTCGAGTTCTCTACCCACCACCATGACACAGCCTGACCTCACACAGCTCCTCCTGTTCTCAGGGATCAATAAAACCTCCTGCTGCTCCCCATCCATACCCCCCTTGCTCCGAGTGACAGCCACCACCCCGTGAGATACCTACAGAATGTCATTGAGCTGCTGGAACTGCTCCATGGCTTCAGGGCACCAGCACTGTTCCCTCTTGCTGCTGCAGCCTGCACAGAGCTGGCTCTCTCCTCCGCCCTCTTCTGGGTCACTCTCCTGCTCAGTCTCACTCATGCTACTCTCACACTCGTTCGTTCCATCTTCTCCTTTCTTCCACTGCCGCATGTATATCCTGAACGTGCGGCTGTAGAACTGCTGGATCATCTCCTGGAAGGATTTGGTCGTGGAGAAGAAGAGGATAGCTTTGAACATGGTGTAGACCTTCTCCTGCAGTGTCTGAGCGCCTGTGCCCAGGAGCAGGCCTGCCTTGGTCCACTGCTCCAGGAGCTCCAGGCTGTTCAGGTAGGGCTCCAGGCGGCACTTGAGCAGACTGAACGCATCCAGGAGCAGAGCAGCGCACTGGGGCTCCTCGGCCGTGGTCTCATACTGGCCAACGCAGTTCCAGAACTCGGGGGCGATATTCGCCTGCAGGTCAGTCTGCAGCACCTCGATGAACCACTCCTCCACGACGGAGTGCAAGTCGTAGCACTGCAGCACGTCCAGGGCTGCCCGGAGCTCGGCATCCTGCAGCGGCCCGGCAGCTTCGGGCCTCGGGGCTGCCTGGAAAGCGGAGGGAACATGAGCTAAGCATTTGATGGAGCTCACAGGGACTCTGCTGTCAAACTGCACTGGGGGGATGCTGCCCCTCCATGGCGATGTGCCGGGGTCTCAGCCCACCGCTGGATGCCCAGCGCCCCCTCCCAGGGCTCACACCCGTACACATCACTGCTGTCCCTGCAGGCGGCTGCTGCAGGACACGGGTGCTGGTGGAAATGCTGCGAGCCACCCTTGGCTGCCCAACTCCCTCAGACGGAGCGGGAGCAGAGCCACAGCACGGCCGGGCAAGCTGCGGCCTTTCGGTCCCGCTCCTGGCTGGGGCGACAGGGAGACAGGGCGGCTGGGCCCGCGGCCCCTCCCTGACAGCCCCCAGCAAACACCATCCCCGCACACCCAGGAGCCCCTTCCCCTCCTCCCCGCCCCGGCAGCTCCGGCCGTTCCTCCCTCGGCTCCGGCCGTTCCTCCCTCGGCCCCGGCCGTTCCTCCCGCAGCCCCGGCCGTTCCTCCCGCAGCTCCGGCCGTTCCTTCTTCAGCTCCGGCCGTTTCCCCCCGGCCGTTCCTCCCCCGGCTCCGACAGCTCCCACCCCGCCCCAAGGACCCAGAGCCGGAGAGGCCCGGCCGGGGAGGAGCCGAGGCCGGAGCATCCCGGGGGCGGCGGGTCGGGCCTGCCCCGGGCCCGGCGGAGCTCAGCGACCCCCGCGCAGTCCCCGCTCACCAGCCCTAGCGCGGCGGGCGGCACCAGCGCGGTGCTGAGCGTGTGCCAGGCGGCCGAGAGCTCCATTCGGGCCGCAGGAAGGGGCGGAGCGCCGCCGGCCGCCGCGATGAGCGGCACCGGAGCCACGCTGCGGGGGCACCACGCGACGCTGCGGGAGGGTGAGCGGGGCCGGGGGACGAGCGGGGCCGGGGCAGGGGCCGGGCAGGGTGCGCGGGCCCGTCTGACGGTGCCGCCCCGCAGGGCTGTCGGAGCTCCGCGCCCGGCGGGACGAGCTGAGCGGGCGGATCCAGGCCGAGGAGGCGGAGCGGGGCCGGCTGCAGGCGCGGATCGCGACGCTCTCCCGGCGCTTGTCCGACACCAGCGAGAGCCTGGCGGGGCTCCGGTCCACCCGGGCCCACATCGACCGCACCATCGCCGAGATGGACATAGCCTCCGGGGAGGTACTGCCAGCGAGGGACATCGCCTCGTGCAGCTTCCTCGTGAGGGGAGGAGGAGGGACGGCATTGATCTCTGCTGTCTGTGACCAGGGACCGGGCGCGAGGGAATCACTGAGTCAGAATAACCTGAGGTGGACAAGGATCACCCAGCCCAGCCCCTGTCCCTGCCCAGACCCCCCAACAAGCCCACCCTGGGCATCCCTGGCAGTGCTGTCCAAAGGCTCCTGGAGCTCTGGCAGCCTCGGGGCCGTGCCCATTCCCTGGGGAGCCTGGGCAGTGCCAGCACCCTCTGGGGGAAGAACCTTGCCCTGAGCTCCAACCTAACGGTGTGCCAGGGGAGGTTTGGGATCTATATATACACACATATACATATGTGTATGTATGTATGTGTGAACTCGGTCTGTATTTACCTGAAGGTCGGCTGGGAGCACCTCGATGAACCACCACTCCTCCCTGGGTTGTAACCCTGCAGCCAAAACAACTTCCCGGGCCCGGGATGCAGCTCTGGCACACAGACCCATCATGAGAGGGCTGGGTTGGGGGTTGTTTTGGTGCTGCTTGGGCCTGGGCAAAGTGTATTGTCAAAATACATTTGAAATAGCTTTTGGAACAGACCCCTGAAAATTACCATCTCAGATCCATGGTTTGGGGGAAAGGAGGAAACCAGAGACATGACACTGACCCACAATTCTGCTAACTCAGGCAGAGAACAATCATGCTGAAGGAGTTGTTGGCCTTCCACTCTTCCAGCCCAATATTTAGTGTAGTTTATTTCATCTTTAATGGAACAATGTCATTAAAAGAGACAAATTGTTGGGGCAGTAAAGGGTGGGAAGGAGGCAAACAGCACGAGGGCTGGCACTGTCATTTTGGTTCCTGAGACAGCTCTACCCATTCCCGTGTGTGTTACTGTCAGGCAGGGACTGCTTGATCCCCACAGACAGGGCCACAGCTGAAGTCACTTCTGTATTACACACCAACAGCTTTTATTTCTTTAAAAAAGGATCTTCCCAGCCTCTTTTCAGATAAGTGACAATCTTCCTTCTCATGGTGACCAGGCAGAGTTTGTGTCAGAAACACCTTTCCCCTATTAGCTGCTGCCTAAATTCTCCTCCCATTTGCATTTTGAATATGACCAACTACTGTGTCAGCTCCTGTTCCTCTCCCAAAGTCAGTGCTTGCCCCTGGCAATCACTTTTCAGATGAAGCTGGAGATGTTTCCTCGACCTCCTTCAAGACCTGATGGTTTGAAGTGAAAGGGGAAACTCACATAAAAATTTAAAAGCTTAAAAACTATGTTGTAAGGTACACAAACAGCCCCTTCAAAAAGAAAGCTTACCTGAGATCCAAGTCACACCACCAGCCTACAGATGAATTCCTGTTTATTGAAATGAACTGACACCCACAGGAGGTAGAAAGAGGCGGTGAGGAGGAGATGCTGGTGTCCTACAGGTAGAAAGTAACAATTCCTTTCCTGGCTTGTTACTCCTTGCCTTCTGCCAGCCCCCACAGGATTTCACCTTCCTCCAGCACCTCATCCTGTGGGGCACTCCCTCAGCTCCTCTCTGATCACTTAATGATTTCCACAAATTCACAGGAACATAAATTATTTTTGGGACTATAACCATCACATTTGGTTACAATTGTCCACTGTGTTAAAACTTTTAACTGGTGAGGCGGACAGGCAGCAAGGTCTCCTAAATATGTTGTAGTTTAGAGCACAGGAAGTAGGGATTTAGATTATGTACACAGTGAGCTAAAAACAGGAGAAAATTAATAACAGATCTAGTCTGACAAGGTCACTGTAGATTTGAGTAAGTCTTGAAGCCAGAAACCCGAAATGTGCAGTTTTAATAGTGGAAAAGAGTTGAAACTGGGTCAGCTGAGCACAATTTAATACTGACCTAAAAAGCCCAGGTACCAAATCTCCCTTAAAAAAACCCAGCCAACCAACCAAAAAACACCAAACCAACCAAAACCCCCAGTCTGCTTCAGGAAGTTCTCTGCCTTGTGCTCCAAGGCAGATAAATTGCTTAAGGCCTTTCATATTCAGAATATGAACACAAACCAGAGAAACTGGCCCACAGATATTCCCACACTGAGACAGGACAATAAATCACCAGGAATTAGAGGCTGAAAGGCTGGATAGCCCCTCTTGCTGCAAGGCAGATCAGATGAATTGGAAGGGAATTCATAAGAGAAACAGTTTGTGTAAAAATACGCTATTTTTATTTCTTTCCCAGACACTGGACAATTCTCAGACATTGCTAGATATCCTGAAGAAGGAAATGAGGGATCTTGATAAAATCATTGATCCACAAAACACTTCATTAGGACCACGAATACGTCGACAAAAGCGTTCCTAAACTTCTTCTTCAGCCTGGAATGTCCTGTTGGCCAGAGAGAGCTGCTTTGTGGTCCAAAGATGCCACATTTAATAAAAGCCTTTGCTTTGCAGAAGTAAATTTTCCTTTCAGATGTGCTTTGGTATTAGTCAGAGACGCACTAAAGCAGATCCTCCAACGCTACAGAGCAGAGTAGGCATTTACACAAAAACACCCTTCATTTTGAGCACAGCCATCCTGAGGCACATCCCAGGAGGTGACCCATCCGCTGATGCTCCTGTCCTCAGGACTGCCCTCACCCTGCTCTGCCTGGAGGCAGCTGGAGTGCCTGGGCAGGGATTAGAGCAGGAAGCTGGGAAGTGCAGAGGAGTGCTGAATCTCAGCTCCAAGGTGGAGCAGGATCACCGGGAGAAGGAGCAGAGAGTCAGCAGCATGCTCTGCACCCCCACAGCCCCGAGCTGTCCTGCCCACAGGGCTGCAGGCACAGCATTAACTCACAGAGAACCAGAGCAGTGTTTGAGCTGCAGGACAGTGTTGGCTTTAGCATTCCTCATGGATCCACAGGAGAACTAAGCCTGGGCTGGTTCAGGCCCCTTGTCCCTAACTTGAGCCGAAAGCAGCTTTGCTTTACCTCCTGCAGTTCTGCAAGAAACAGAGCTGCCTTAAACTGACCTGGGTTTTTCCGCAGGGAAAGATGCTCACTGGGACCTTTTTTACTAGAAAAGCTGTGCTGAAAATTCACCTCATAAATCTAGCAGTCACCAGCAGTCTCACAATTTCCCTCATTCCACACCAGTCTCAGCACCTTATCCTGAAGTATTTTATTAATGGGAGAAGCCTCAACACATGGAACTCCATGGTCCTTGTGTCAGGCAGATGCACTGCAGACACATCTTGCTCCTGGCAAGTCACACAGGCAGCAGATCTCAAATTAGCTTGGAAGGACAAGGAGGTGCAAAATGTTTCTTTGTGCCCCCCCAGCCAACATCTAAAACTACTGAGTAGCTTTTTTTTTTTTTTTTCATTATCTTTCCAAAAGAATTTAGGCACCCAGGGCAGAAGGGAACAGCTACAAGTAGGTATGTCCTAACGTTTAATCCTGTGTTTTTCAGTAGAACAACCTTTCCTTGCTGCTACAACAGACACCAAACCAAGTGCAAGGTATGCAGAGCATTTTCAGTTCACAGAGCAGTGTCACTTGAGCAGACACTCATCATCTGTAATAGACAAACCAGTAACCATAAAATTTAATCAAAGATAGCAGCCTGTTCCTTTGGATCACGCCCCACTCATTCCATAAAGCCCAAAGAGGCTGGATCTGTTCTCACCACATCTCTTTTAATCCCAAAGTACAGATCACATTAGCAGCACTGCTCCATCTGTTCCAGAGTGCAATTTTGACCCTGAGTTTACAGTAGTAGAAAACTTGAATGGAAGATTCTAGTAGATTTCTTTGCATATTGGCTGCATTAAACAATTATAATAGAACTATAAAAACCCTAGAAAAAACAAAAATAACCCACATTCCTTGTTCAAGTTCTGCAGAAGAATGGAGTGAAACTTCCCTCCTGTGTTTTGACTAGAAGAGCAGAGCAAGTGTGGCTTGAAGGAAGCAACCAAGAGAGATCAATCAGATTTGGAACAAAGCAACAAGAGGAGCTGGCAAACTGGAGCACAACCAGCAACACCCAGAGACTGGATGCCAGAGTTGGGAAGGACAAACCAAAGCTATGGCCAATGTTTGGGAATCTTCAAGAGCCTGGAGGCAGTTTGAACATTACTAATTGGTGCAAAAATAACATTTAAAGCTAAAGGCATTCATTGCTCTTCCCATCCCTCCCTCGGGGTGTTCAGTGAGCTCGACAAGCATGTAACTGGCACATGAATTCCACGATGTTTCAGTGATACCAGAGCTGGAAACATGCCAAGGACAAACCACGAACCTTCAATGGTTTTCCAAACTGACACCCAATGTGTCAAATCACAGCCACGCTGTGCACCCACCTAACTGCCCAGTGCTCCACTCCAGAGCCATCCTCCACTGGGGAGAAGGGTTGCAAAAGCTGTCCAGACCCTGCACAGTGCCTGGACTCAGACAAGCACTGAGAAAAATCAACATCCATCCCAGGCTTACAGATGTCCTTCCCACACTTGCCAAACCGGCAGCTGATCTTGAGCAAGGAATATGCAAGGCCACAGGCAGAATAAATCATACGCCTTGAAAGCAGTAATTCGGCCCCAAAATCCAGTGCAAATATTCTCCGAAGATGCCCGAGAGCACCTGGTCCACCCTTGGCAGCAGGATCCGGGAGAGCCGCGGCGCGGGCGCGGTTCCCGAGCGGGCTGCGCTGCGCCATCCTGCCCAGCAGCCTCAGAAATAGAGCGCGGGCTCGCTGCTGAAATCCGAGAGAGCGCCCTTCTCCGCCGGGGTGAGCTGTGGGCAGAGCACACACACCACGGTCAGAGCGGGCCAAAGGAGCCCCCAACCCCTGCGTGGGCCTTGGCACCCTGCCGGGCTAACTGGGTGTGTTTGGTTAGTGCCCCCCCAAATGTGTCCTGGAGTACCAGAATGTTCTGCAATGGTTTGGGTTGGAAGGGGTCTTAAAATCCTCCTTGTTCCAACCTCCTGCCAGGGGCAAGGACACCTTCCACTATCCCAGGTCACTCCAAACCCCGTCCAGCCTTGCCTTGGACACTTCCAGGGATCCAGGGGCAGCCACCCTGCACCAAGGCTTCACCACCATCACAGGGAACAATTTCTTCCCAATATCTAATCTAAATCTCTTTTAGTTTAAAATCGTTCCCCCTTGTCCTATCATTTCTTCCCAATAAAAAAAAAAAAAATCAAAAAAAAAAAAAAAAAAAAAAAAAAATCAATCTCCCTGTTTTTTGTAAGCCCTCTTTAGGCACTGGAGGGGGCTCTGAGATCTCCCTGGAACCTCCTCCAGGTGAACACCCCCAGCTCTCCCAGGTCCCAGGCTGGTTCCAGAGCAGAGGGGCTCCAGCCCTTGGAGCATCTCCATGGCCTCCTCTGGACTTGTTCCAACAGGTCCATGTCTTTTCTGTGCTGAGCAGAGTGTGCCAGCTGCCTTGAGTCTCCTTCACACGGCCAGGGAGGGGCAGGTGTGGTAGTGGCAGTGGGACGGTGTGTTGGTCCCTTTGGGAGCAGTGACAGCTCCCTGGGCAGGAACACAAACACAGGTGTGCAGGGAAAGGCACATCCTGTCCCATCCACTGCCTGGAACAACCCCCACCCCACAAGGGAGCACAAGAGCTGGTTATTTATAGCCTCACCATGACTTGGTTCCCATGGGAATCGGCTTCCTTTGGGAGGGATCCCTCTGCAGCAGGACCCTCATACTTCTGCTCCTGCCACTCGCTGAACTTCACGGAGTGCTTTGGGGTGTAGCTGGATAAATCTGCTGTCAGGAGAAAGATGAGGTAAATATTCCTCACCACCCCAAAAAGAAGTGGGACCAGGATCCCAGCAGGGACAGCTGGAAGCTCCCCATCTACAGCTCCCTGTTCACCTCCACTAGCATTTCCACTAGTGTGGAGCCCCTTAAGGGTCTGTGGGAAACATGGGCAGTGTCAGACACCACCAGAAACCCCATAGTGCCAACACAGTGCCTCACTCACCTGAGTTAGGTGTACTGGGATGCAAAGTGCTGTTTGGGCGTGGAATATAAAAGGTACGAGATTTTTCCTCCGTTTCAGAAGCGTGTCCTTCCTCTTCTTCATCCTCTTCTGCCAGGGAGCTCTCTGAGGGGTACTCAAACATCGTCTGCAAACTTGTCTCATTGAAAGAGATCTTCATCTGGGCAACAGCAAAGAAGAATTATTAGGGAGAAGCCCAAGAACCCACTGATCCCCACACTGGCTCTGGCACAGGCCACTGCCCACACCAGGGCTGCCCCCTGGTTTAAAGCAGCCACTGCCACTGCAGACCCCCCAGTCCTTCCCCAAAGGCCTTGGTGGATCTCTTGCCACGCTGAGGTAAACCTCAAAGGCAGAGCCAAATGGATGGGATGGAGGCAGGAGACCTAGGGGTCTGGAGCATCTCTTTGTGCCCTCTGCCAGCACCTCACACTGGCACCCAGCAGGAGCTGCTGTCACCGGAGAGACAAGCAGGAAAACACCCACAAGTTGGAAAGGTGACGTTGCTAATTCCTGGCAACTCCTTTGTGTATCCAAGCTCCAGGAAACAGAAACATCCATGATCAGGACTCCAGTCTTAGGAGGACATTCTGGCAAGAGCTATTTAAGCTACATTAAACAGGGCTTAAAACCAGATGGGAGAAAAAGGAAGCAGCTAAAAGAGAGATGGTAACAGGTGGTAGCAGACAGGGAAAATACTGGACAAGGGGGAGGCCTTAAAGGTTCTGGTTTGAAACCAGTTTTATCTGGTATTGTCACTAGTGACCTTTCCACCGTAACTGGGAGACTGAGACATGAAAGTGACGCAAACACAAGAGTTCATCGAGGGCTAACCGGAATTTTATGGCCATGAAGAAAACTAGAGAGCAAAAACACTAAAAATGGAATCAAGTTTAAGAGCAACCTTTGCCCTAAGAGAAGTTCATCACCTGTGAATAATTGAGGAAGAAACTTTGGGATTGGCTACAGGACTGCAATCATCATTAGGATGCTGCTTAAATAAACCAGGAATGCAGCAAGGCATTTCTGCGGGAAACAGGGACTGCCTGGTTCTCTCCTCCCTGTGCAGATGTGCTTGTCCAAGCTGAAAAGGAAAGCTGAGGGAGGGGTTTGTCCCCTGCAGCCCTGCCTGTCCCAGTCATTACCTACCACTGTGCTCCAGGGATCTGGTCACAAGTCACCTCAACAGCTGCACAGGAGGTGGACTGGCAAAAACTTCACACCAGCAAAAGTGAAAAAAGAGAAAAAGCATAACAGCTCTTTGTAAGTACTCCAGAAAATAACCACCAAGGAGCAGAGAACTGCTGATGCCAGCACACATCAGACAAATAAGGAGGATAAGCTTGCCAGGAATAAGTTCATGCCAAAAGTAGGGAAGTATTTAGCCAACACAGATCAAGGTTCAGGAGCAGCTGTCTAAAAGGGTGTTGTGATCCCTTTACTTATAAATACAATTAAAATTCAGCTAATAGGGTTATGAACAGAATGGAAAGGACATGGCAACTTGTGACAGGTGGCAGGAGCCCAATGGTTCTGATCTCTCCAGATGCTGTGTAATGACAGGCCAGGGGCAAGTGCAGCACATTTATCCCATAGTTCTGTCATACAGAAAATCCCCAGAGGCTGGGAAGTGGGATCTGGCCCCAAGCAACAACAGTGCCAATGTGCACCCATTCCCTGTCACAGCAGTGGTTGGAGCACTGGAGTGATATTATTAGGGGCTGCCAAAGCCACACCTGGATGTCTCCAAGAGCCAGAGCTGCCAGCAGGTCACAGTGCCAACTGTGCTGCCCATGCACAGGATCCCTGGAGCTCTGGAGGGATCAGAGCAGGACAGGGAGCATTTCACTGCTGCTTTTCAGCAAAGCAGCAAGGGGAGCTTAGTTTGAATCTGGGTACCAGAGGGAGCAGCTGCAGCTCCACATTGCAAACCACAGCTGGAGCTAGAGCTACTCTGCCCCAGGGCAGGATGGACCTTGGACACAGGCTGGCTCCTTGTCCTGCTTGGAGAAGGCAGGATGGAAACTGCATGGAGGGAACCAGCTGCCTTTCCCCATTCCCTGTCCCAGCTACTCTGAGCTTCCCCAAATGACACAGAAGAGAAGAATGGTTCTATTTCAGAGAAAAGGGACTGGAGTGAAATGGTCCTGAAGCTGAGAGCATCCCAGTTGCTGCTCCCTGAATTTCCCATCCCTGCTGCTGACCTAGATGCTCCCTGATCCGAGCCAGGCTGTGACTGCTCACAATGTGGTGTCTGTCCTGTGGGGATGAGCCATGCTGACAAGCACAAAGGCCACCAGGGTGGAGGTGCCCAGGGCTCTTGGAAGCTCAGGAGCCATCCCAGAACCACAAACTGCACAGAGGCCACTTACCAGTGCTGCCAATGGCACTGAGGGGCAAGAACTTGGCTAAATATGGAAAACAAAGCAGATGGGAGAGATATGCCTTGGGGTTTAAATTTAAGCTTGGGAGATGGAACTAAATGTTCCTGGTTTTCCGCTATCTGGAGAAAATCTCTAAGAAAAATTACTTTGAGTCCAGTTTGGACCAAAGGTGCATGCAGTGCTGGAGGAGAAAACAGCCTCAACAGGGAGCAAAACCAGAGAGCAGAACAGAGCAGAAACGGCCTGAAGACACCCACACCCTACACAGAGCTCTGACAACACCAACAGCCCCAAACTCAACAGCTCCCACTCTCCACGGCCAATTCAAGCATGAGGCAATGCTGGAGCCCCTGGCACAGAGCAGCCAGCCAGCCCCTGGCCCAGGGCACAGCTGGGGCCAAGACCACCTGCAAGGCTCACACAGGCAGTTGTGTGTGGCACGGGGGCAGCGTGGCTCAAGTTCCCCCAAACCACACTGACCTGCCCTGTGGCAGATCCCAGCCCCTGCTCCCAGAGCCTGCACCAGGCAGAGCCCCACGGCTGCTGCAGTAAAGCTCTGGGCACACCCAGGCAGAGCAAACACGGGGCACAACCAGGCACTGGCACAGGATGGACCCTGGGGCACGCAGTCAGCCCTGCCCATGGGCAGAGAGCCCCAAACCCCAAACCCTGCTGTGGCAGCACCTGAGCTCCCCTCTCTAAGCACAATGGGCTTTCAGGGAAGCACAAAGCAGCTCTGCTTGACCCAACAAAATAGGGAGGGCAAAGCACTCAGGCAAAACCAGGGGACACACAGGGCAGAGAAATGCTCTGAGTGGCTACAGAGCACAGCTGAGTGCTGTGTGCAAGGAACACAGGCAGCTTCAGTCCCAGAAACCAGCCAAAAAGGAAAACCAAGAGCCATCATGGCACAGACAACAGGTTTGCACAGCCAGCAGTGCCTTGCCAGACCACAGAGACTTTTATGGGAACACAAAAGGCACCAGGGGACGTTTCTTTAGAAGAAAAGCGTGTCCCAGCAGAGCCAAGCTCGCTGGAGCCCAGCCAGAGGCCTCTGCTCAGCCTGTCCCAGCACTGCTTCCCCTGGTTCTGCCCCAGCAGCAGCTGCCAGTTGTGGCAAGGAAGAATTTTGCACCCTTCAGCTGTGGATGTTTGCAGGGATTTGTCACTCTTTACTCAGTTGGAGGCTTCACCCACAGCTGTGTCACAAGCCCAGGGTCCAATCCAAACCCATATATACATATATATAGAAATTTATATATAAATACTCTGCCCAGCAATCAGACACTCTGAAAAGAGTAAATCAGGCTTTTCAGGAAATACTGTGCTGTTCAACCAATAGGTTCTTGTTGCCATAGCAAAAATCATTTATTTATTTGCTAGGATTTGAACAGTAATGAGTAATAGAATATCCAGGAAAGAGAAGCCAGGGCAAACATTGCCCAACAAAGCGTAAATCTGAGTAGTCATGCAGATCTCATTTAGAAAAGGGAAGTCAACCTTGTGTCAGGCTGTCAGGACTCAGGCTGCAACCAGACCAGCCACCAAAGAGCCCCCATATACAGAGATTTATTAAAACAAAAAATAACCAGTTTATAGAGCCCAACTTTCAACATGAGCAATGACAGTCAGCAGCCACCTCACCTCCAAAGAGAAATGACAAAGTCTGCAAGGCAGTATTAATGACATAGCAAAGACCCAATGGCTTCTCACACACCAGGGACCTCTCTGGAAGTCTTTGGGGGTTAATCTGCATCCTCAGCTCCAGAAGGAATCTCCTTACTGTGGCTTTTCTCTTCTCCACATATTATTAGATTTGCTGCTTGGCTGATGAGCCAAAACCAAAGTGAAAATGTAGGGTGTTTACACTTTTTAAACTGAAAGCTCTTTGACAATCCAAATCCTCACCTTGTAACAGCCAGAAAAAAAGTAACTGATCTAGGCATTAACTTAATAAAATCATCCTATAATTATATTCCAGCAGGGAGAGTCTGAGTCAGCATTTGCTCCCCATCACAGCAGCCCAGAACAGGGGGACTGAGAAGGACTGAGCCCCTCTTCCCTCCCTCTGAGTGGTTCCCATCTCCCAAACCAGGGGCTCCTGCTGGAGTTGCCATCCCTGCTCTGTCCTTGAGGAGCAGGATGGGATGGTGAGTGGTGAAGCACAAGCTGGGCTCCATCCCTGCCCTGCTGCCATCCCACAGCACCTCCAGCACGTCCCAACCCAACAAGAGCCTCACCAGATCCAAGCAGCTGAGCAGCACCTGGGATCAAGACCTGCTCTCTTCACGTACTGATTTTCCTCTACTCATCCTCTGGCCTCAGTAATTCCCAAGTGACAAATCCAGGGACTGCACTGACTCCACGGGACATGCAGGGGCTGCCAGGTGTGATTTAAAGCAGCTTTTCACACCTGGTCTACTACAGGGTCACAGAAGAAGCTGAGTTGGAAGTGACCCACGAGAATCACCCAGCCCAGCCCCTGTCCCTGCCCAGACCCCCTCCAACCCCACCCTGGGCATCCCTGGCAGCGCTGTCCAAAGGCTCCTGGAGCTCTGGCAGCCTCGGGGCCGTGCCCATTCCCTGGGGAGCCTGGGCAGTGCCAGCACCCTCTGGAGGAAGAGCCTTTCCCTGAGCTCCAGCCTGAGCTGCCCTGGCCCAGCTCCAGCTGTTCCCTGGCTCCTGTCCCTGGTCACCACAGACAAGAGATGTCTGTGTCACAAGATCAGTGTCTGTCCCTCCTCTTCCCCCACAAGGAAGCTGCCTCCTCTCAGCA